AAAATAAGGATGAACCATTCCGAAATACAATTTCCGATTCACATAACTGTAATTTGTCGACATCATCTAGTATTTCATTTTTCTTTATTTCACCAATTTTTAAGTTCTTTAATTTCTTCTCAACATTTGGACGCATATGAGACCAACACATGACCATTTTGTCATTATTAAATAGTTTCATAAATTCAATGCGTATAGTACCAGACCCATCAGCTATAAGAACTTCAGGTGTAAAATTTGATTCAATTATTTATTCCACACCATAAGAAAGGCTTTTGAAAATGAATTCAAAGTCCTGTTGTTTTTCATCACTACAGACTGCTAATCTAAATGGGTGAAACTTTCGATCACAATCGCTCGTGCCAACTACCAATAAAGGAAAGCCCTGCCAAATCAATTTGTAGGTGGCATCAGCATGTAACTTTGTTGAAATCGAAGCAATTTGAAGTAATCTTTTTGATGACAAAAAGAATCTAAATTATTACCATCATCGACGACATTTTCATCATCATCGTGATCAGTATCATCTTTATAATGACGATAAAATGAAACTATAAATGGTTCATCCTCAGATTGTGGTATTGTTGATTTGTCTTGACACCAATATTCTAATTCTCCTAAACTTAAAGTAGAACGAACAAATTTTTGTTTGCGTAATTGAGTTAAATAATTGTTCACTTGGTTACGTGTTATCTTAAAATTTCTCTCTTCCAATACTTCATATATTTTCTTCGGCTTTAATCTTCAATCAAATAATTCTATGATATTTTGCTTCACTTCTTCAGAAAAATAATAACGTCTACTTGAATTGGTATAGTTAAACTAAGCATACACAAATTTTACTTACAAAAATCAACTTAGCATTTATATATTTTTACTTAGCACTTAAATAGGTGCCGATATCAATATATCCTCGAATATGGAATGTAAAGCAGGTTTTTGTCCACATAATCTTGTGGAACTATTATCTCATTTTTACAACATCCACTGCTATAAATTGTCGTATACCTTTTTCATTTTTGTGCAGAACCTAAATCCAAACATATGAAGTCGTTACCATCCCAACTTAGAGCTCAGAACTAAACTAGATTCGAGAAAGTGTGAAAAATTATTC